TCACAGCTCCTTTTAGCTCGATGTTGTGCGCCCTGCGACTCTGTGGAACAAACAGACGAAACAGGATATCAGCATGTATCTGGATATGACGTCACAATCATCACAATAAAGTCTACATTGATGCAATGTGATGTTTATTAAGCAGTGAAAATTTATGTTGAAAAATACCTTAAAGGAGCAGTATGTAACTCTGACACCTAGTGTTTAAAGTGGGTACTGCAGTCTAAATTCTAAACATTGTAGAGATCTGTCTCCCCCCGCCCCCTCCTCTCTAGAGTGGAAGCTCACACAGGTCACCATGTGGTGGACACTGAAGCTTCAGTGTTTATCCAGCTCTGCATGGGTCTGTAAACCTTTCTGTGTTCTAACCTCTCTCCATTTTTCAAAAGCATCTCCAATATTGATCCTAGTTTGAGCACGTTTCTACTCGTGGAGCTTATTAGAAACATGCAGAGGGTTTTTAGGTCGGGTACAATCACTTCTCTGAACCACTTCTCTTGCCCGCTTCCATCACTGCAACACCTGTTGCTTTGACCTGATAACTGCTCTCATATCCGGCAAACCGAGGGGCGTCCAAAACGGCCGTGTGTGGGGGTCATCTTACAAGCGCCTACCTTCTCTGGTTCCAAACAAATCCAGAGCATTCAGGACCAGAATCTAAAGTTAGAAGGAGGACATACTGGCTGCTGCATTGTTGTCAGAGAAGCAAGCACTTCAACATAGCATGTTTCCTTAATGTCTGATCAAGAGACATATTTGCAAACTGGCTAGATTCTATTATTCTTCACCCGCTGGCTCAGTCCCTAACTGAACAGTTAATTATTGTCCTGGGTTTAAAATAAAATGTGTCATTATTATGAAATTCAAATAAGATAAGTGCAATATCTGAAATTAAAGTCATCCATAACTTGTATTTCTCTTTTTACAAGCAGGCCATGAGCTCTTGCTTCTCATTCACATCAGTCTCTGAGGAGTCGGCTCACCTTTGGATCCAGCAGGTAGTTATACGGCATAAATATGATGTCTGCTTGCTGTTTCAAGGAACGGGAGAGGTAGTAAGGACAAACCCTGCAGGAGAAAAGTTTAACTTTGAAAGATGGAAGTGCTAGTTTAACACAGCACAGTCACTAGATTCGCTCTAAAATACAGCTCTGGAAAAGAAATACAAAAATATTAAGACTGAAATAAACTTTCTTTTGAAGCTAAAAGCCTGAGAGCTAAAAAAAAAATCATATCTGCTGCTTAATCGTCAGCTATATTTACAGTCAAATATTGGCCATTTGTAAATTTATTAAATTCTCTGGTTTATGTCTCTAAACGACAAGGACTTGTTCCTAACAGCTGTTTCACTGGACTTAAAATAAACCATGACAGTGACCTGTTAGTTAAACACTCAAGTCTCACCTTTGTTTGTTGCCATATTTCACCAAGTCTTCCACGTCGAGGATAGAGTTTGCCAAGTCTTTGTCAGTGCTCTTCTCTGAAGCAGAAAAGACAAAAAAATAAGCAGCTTAAAAATGATTTAGGCAATGAGAGACATATTTTCAAAGCTCTATAACCATCACTGCTGCAAAAACAGAAGCATCAGAGCTCCACGTGTCTCACAGTGTTACGGATATTTGTGTAACAGACAAGATGTTTCACGTGCAGGAAAAATTAAATATATCAATCTCTCTACCTTCAACATTATTGTAGAAGACACACGACCTGGTGGAGACCTTTGCTCTGCACATATGGACCTGAAAATACAACACAAAGAAACACACTGTTCATTGTACCTGCACACACTGAGGTAACACTATTACAAGTAGATGTGTGTGATCTACTGAAGTAGCATCACTTACTAAACTAATGTCAGAACATTACCCAAAATATAAAAAGCTCAACTTTGCTTAAAATCTCAAAACAACTCAAGAGTTTGATTTAAAAAAATGTTGATAATGAGATAACGGCAGGAGAATGTGCAGCTTGAACGTCCTTGGCGCATCTATCTTTTTAAAGATTATAGTGTCAATAGGCCATTGCTCCTCACCTTGATGTGGTTGCTCTCCTGACGCATCACTTCCTGGTTGATACACAGCTGCTCTCTGGATCCCAGCACACACACCTTAGGTCTGAACCAGCAGAGACAGATTGGAGTTATTTGATCTCGTCCATCAAAGTAAACGTATAAAGACAAATAGCCTATGTCAGAATGTTCTTATATGTTGTAGAGGAAGATGTATTTTACCTGTATGAAGTGTTCTTTAACTCATTGATCACCTGTGCCAGCTGAGAGTGTGTCCTGGATGCATATATGATCTTTGGAACATCTGTGTAGTAGGCTGAAAAACAGAAAAACACCAAATGATCATTATTCATACAAGTCAGCAGCTGTTTCTCTGAAAAGTACTCGAGTTAAACAGGTATGCCCCTCTTATCTCTGCAGTAGATTTTATGATTTTCCATTGACCTTTTGCTGAAGAGCTGTCCTCTATTAGGTTATCAGGTGATTTATGAGCTCAAAATATCTAAAACTAGTTTGTGAAGTGTACATGTGTGGTAGGAAATACTTCAATCTGCAGTGAGCACTCATTGAACGTACTCGGTGTCTCTCCGTCTGTGGCGGCCGTCCCCCATGATGCCATGGGTGTGTTCGGGAACATCTCCTCCCCGCCCAGCTTCTCTGATATCTTACGAGCGGAGATGGTGTCCTTAAAGTGCTCTCTCCAGGCCAGGGTGGCACAGAGCAGGCACAGGGTCTTGCCTGTACCCGTGGGACTCTCCAGGACCCCGTTCACCTTCTGCAACACACAGGTACACAGAAACACTGGTTTCATCTTTGCAGAGAACTCGTGACAGAAAAACATGTTTCACTAATCCTCACGATTTGCTAGTTTGCACCAATCAACTGTGATTAATGTAGAAGATCAATGTTAGCATGTGAGTCATGTAACTCTTATTATTTTGATTAAAGCCCAACTGAAATATCGAAGAAGTGATATTATAGGCTCATACAGGCCTGATTATGCTGCTGTAGGCTTAGACTGCTGGGGGACCAGGCTCAGGCTTAGACCAGCTCCTAGTTATGTTGCTATAGGCTTAGACTGCTGGGGGACCAGGCTCAGGCTTGGAGCAGCTCCTAGTTATGCTTCTATAGGCAGTAATCAAACTGTGAATGAGTGTCCTGCATCACTGAACAGCTGCTGCGAAACTGATGTAAGACCACCCTGGTTACAGCAGGTTTCCTTAGCAACCAACTTCGCTTAACGACTAGACATATCTAGTGTAAACTGTACTTACCTTTTGAAGACATTCAACCACTTTGCTCATGTAGTCCTTCTGACAGTCATAAGGAGGAAAAGGAAACTTCACCGTGACTCCGTTCAGAGTCAGTGAAGTCATCATGAATTTCTTAGCTTTAGTCAGTAGCAGCAATAAACAAGATAACGCAGTTTTAAAAAATGACGCACTTTGAGAAGCTTCCTCTTGACTGCGGGTTTACTTAAACTTATAAACGTGTGGTCAATTTAGCAGATAATACTGACAGCTTTAGCCGCTGTAAAAAGTAGTTTAAAGTCACTCAACTCTGGGAACATTTCTTAGCTTGGCGCCTCCATTCAGTCTACAGAGCATGCGCACTACAACGATACGCCTCCGCTGCGTTCACGTACCCTCGGAATATTTAACACATTATGCGTTCCTTATACCTCGGAATAATAATAACAATGGTTCAATTACTGCTGAGACTGGACTGTTTCAGAGATATGCAGCTCCAGAAAAAAAGGACATCACTGTAAAAATGTGTTTCTCTCTGGTTCTTCTTTATTATAATTTAGTGTTTGAGTAACATTAACATTTTTATTTTATTGTAATTTCTTCCATTTTCCAAAAAACAATATTCTTATTTAGGCCATTATGATAAGTGGTTAAGAGAACAAAAAGATGCAATGCTTAACTCTCCTGATTTTATCCCATATTTAGGAATTGTCAATTAAAGCAACTTGTAAAACAAAGTAGAGAAAAACAGGAACCAGAAAAAAAAACCTTGGGGTTAAGTGGACAAGGACATGTGTTGACTGCAGGAGCTGGGGATTGAACCCCTGACCTTACAGCTGAGAGATGACTGACTCTACCAACTGAGCTACAGCTGCCCCTTTAATACAATAACCATATATACATGTGGCAAGGAATGGCATCATGAATGCAAAAATGGACTTGGAATGGATCCCAAAAGCTCCACACGTCCTTTATCAGGTTTGTACAAGGCCTCAAAAATGAAATGATTGGTTAAGATTTTCTATAATCTTGCACTATTTCAATAATAATACTAATTGGATGTGTATTACATGATTAAATACAAGGTTCTCTGATTACAGCTTCTTAAAATGTGATGTTTTCTGGTTGCATTCATTCTCTATGAAAATAAATCTATAAGCTCTCGGGTGTCGAAAATAGCATGGAAATTTGAAAGCATTTTCTTGGGATTTGGGACAGAAATCTTTTTTTGGTACTTATTTACGGCTTCATCAACTATTCCATTTATTGGTTCTTACTTGTAAATTATTGGAAGGTGAGCATAATCAGTACTTTTAGCCCAGAAAATACTGAAATAGAAACATTCACCTCCATGAAGATGCAAATCAGAGAACACACTCCAGGGGTACATTTTAGATTTTGACGGCTGCAACTCTGTGACTGCATGTGGTAAATTGATATATTTTCTCTTTTGGTTTTATTGTTCTTTTTTACATTAACACAGCAATCATAGGATGCACTTTAAACGCATCTCATTGGTGGCTAAAAAGAGGACTGACTTCTGAGTAACCTTGCATGTCTATTGTATCTGAGAGAAGTTATTTTAAGGGTTTGGAATCAAGACTGACTTAAGGCTAAACACAAGCACTAAAAGTTATTCAACTCTGAAAAATGGCATTAAGAGGTTTAAGTTACTCACTCAGATTCTTCGTCAATATAAGATTCAGAAGCTGTTTCAAGAAATCATTGTCCACACATAAGAATTAAACAATTAAACAAGTACATATTTTATTCTCTCCTGGTGAAATACAATAATTATGAATACAGTGAGTGCAGGTTGGACTCTACTCCTCTCCAGCCGTGGGCAGGACGATCGTGCTCGGGTCGTAGTAGTTCTCGCTTATCAGAGGTAGACCCTGTGCCTCTCTCTGCACAATCAGACGCTCTGCCTCCCTCCTGCCCCAAGTCTCACTGTGAAACACAGAGCAAGACAAAACAAGCTTCAGATTTAAAAAAAATCAACAAAAAAAAAAAAAGAGAAACCCCAAAAAAACTCTCTGAAGTCGTTTTCACATATACACAGGTTTTGTTTAGTTATTTTTTGGTAAATTTTTCCCGTCACTTGACAGGACATCGGAAGAGAGACAGGAAATGTCGGAGGGGAAAATTGCAGCAAAGTGCACAATTGTATTCAAACCCACAGCCGCTGCGATGAGGTCTGTAGCCTCTGTGCAGAGGTCACACGCAATAACATCCGAGCTAAACCGGCAGTATGAGCCTTTGAAATTCAATTTTTCAAAGTGTCAATTAATTTGTGTCAGGAGTTATTTTTAGTTACTCTATGTCTGATGTATACTGCGTCACAAGAAGTAATAATATGAATGTGTTAATTGGACCTGTTGCAATGTAAACTGAAGACCGCTGGAAGAATAAAAAGTTGAGTGCACTACTGACAACATCAGGTCACGTTTGACAGCAGACATCAAATCTTCAGAACTCACGCGTTGTCTGGTATATAGGCGAGAAAAGTCCCTCCTATAACGAGAACCACCGAGATACCACAGAAGAAGGCCATCCTCATGTTCCACAAATCCACATGAGGGTCTTGGGAGAAGCCATGGTAGTCTGGATTCTGAGCAAAAAAACAAAGAGTGAAGAGGTTTTAGGCAGCATAATAGTGAACTCTGATACAGCAGAGTACTTTGAGTGGTTTGAACTGATGTGTCTTTTTTTTTTGCTTTTAGGTCACTGATATGGCTAAAATAAACCATTATTTGTGTTTTTGATTAATCTGCAACGCTCTGACAGTGCCCGTAATAAAAAAAATAAAAAAAAGATAATCTTTTTCATTCCCGGTGAATCTTTTTCAAGGAAAATGACAAACAGGTTAACAATTTATCAAAATAGTTAACATACATTTAATGTCAAAGGAACATTTGGTAATTCAACACAATATTGAAGCTCTACACCTTGGATCTAGATATGGAAACTTTTTTACATCAATAAACCTTCAGAATACTGTACTCCAGTCAGCAGCAGTGAGATTGGGACAACAATCGAATTAATTGTAAGCACATAATGCAGCACTAACATCATTCAAAATTAAGTATATTTTTGTATTTATCCCACAACTCCACATTGATTTTGGATAATGACCCTGTCCTACACAGAGTTCACTACAACAGATGTTGTTGTTGTAGAGAATAACAGCAGGGGCATCAGGATCCCAACAATTTAAAACACTTCAATTCAGGTCCTCAGAAATCCTACTATAATACATTAATACAATTTAATCCCAACGCTGTAGCTAAGTGAAGTGCATCAAACTGTCGTCACAGCTTTGCAGCCATATCGAGGAACATCTGCATTGATATGTATTTGCAAGGAGCACATGACAATATATTGCTATATCCATTTTTTGAATAGAGCCCTAAGAGGTTTTACAATTTATTTTACATTAATAAATCAAAACAGCAACAGCTAAACATACCTATCCTACAGAGTCAAGGCTCTGAAATGTAAAATACTGACTTCTCTATATGGATACTGTCTTAGCTAGTTATTATGTATACCTTGTTTCATGTATAAACAACAGGATTACCACTGGCAACTTCTTTTAAAAATGTAAGCTGAATTTATAGTTTTCTCCATCGCTTTGGCTCATATTTCGAAAATGTCTCTAAACCATTAGTAAGATTGTCACAACTGTTTAATCGGACAGCAAAACTTTATGTGTGCATGTTTGCAAAAGGTCTTAATTCACCCAAAACATTTCATTCTTGTTTAAAAACGGAGTCGTCTTGTCAGATAATTGGTCAATGCCTCCGAAATAAACAACAAATTAATCCACACTGGTCAAAATGTTTCTGTCTTTTCTCATCTTTATGTCACCATGTCAGTCGACCTGGAAAAGTTTACGATGTAAAAATCTCTATTTTTCCATCATTGTTGTTGACACTGATTGCTTACTGTTCTACAATCCCGTTCGACTTGCTGCATGCTCCTTCATCATACTGAGCTTTTTAGATTAAGATTTCAATATTAGGTAAAGTTTTACTGAGAGAAAACATTTCTATTCTGTACAATATAGCAGTACACATAAGGATCAATACATCTGTATGCAGTGAATCTGTTTGTGTAAAAATGTCTTACATGTACTGTATACAGAAAATCTGCCACAGAATGACACCCATGTGTTTCCTAGTTCATTACTATCAGCTGGCAGCTCATTTGCCAATTTAGCAGACAACAAAACATCCCATGTTATGGATATTTATGGAATAAACATGCATGTCTGACTCCCATTTTGATGACTGGTATTACAGTTAAGATTGTTTTTGCTTTGTTTTTCTGTGTATGCATGGAGGCCTATGCATGCAGACATGTATGTGTGTGTTCATGTTGGTGGAGGGAAGGGATATAATGACATTCTGTGTACAGATCGTTGTTTACCCATCCCAAATAAAAAGATGATGAAAAAAAAAGAAGTTGTGAAGAGCTTGACATTTTGACTGAGACTCAACTCATCAGTTTGGGTCAGGTACAGGTAGTTAAGTTATTGTGCAATTATTTTTTTGCACAAACATTTATACTCAATCTTTTGCACTCATGATTTACCAAAACGTGCAGTTTGCCTGAATGGATGAGAAATTATAATATGTTGTGAAAAACACATTTAGCTGTCCAGAGATTTGGACTTCATGTTTTGAAACAAAGTCACTCTCATTTGATAACTGAGCCAAATCAAATAAGAAACACTTTAAAGTGCAGTATTGTATAAACGCTGTAGCTGCCTCACGTTAACTTTCTGACGCAGCTCAATGTGGATCCAAACTATGACATCACACATGTTAAGAACTTTTCACAGTCCCTGCTAGTCAAGCAGCTGAATGTCTGTAAAGCACAGAAACAGTGAACAGTTAATGGAGACAGCTAGAAGCTCACCTTGAGGTACGGGTCGACCTCGCCATGTCCACCCTGGTCAACCGCGGGGTGCAGCTGCGTCACAGCGGCCGAACCGGCGGAACCGCTCGGTTTGGACTGAGACACAAACCGGGCCGGCTGGTTTAACAATAACCGGGGCAGAGCGGGCCCGAGCCGCAACAGTCGGGTCAACATTTCGCCTGTTTGTGAAGGATACCACCACTGTACCGGAACTGGAAACAGTAACCCTTTTCTCTTCTTCTTCGTTTTTTTTAGGGGTTGTGTGGCACATGGCCGCCACCAAGAGGTGATCAGCGGTAATGCAGTCTGGGAATACTGCTTCATAGATGGTCCTCTTACAAACTTCACTATAACTATATTTTCTAGTCTGTGTTGCTTACGATTAATTGATAAATAATGTGATGTTTAAAAAATATCTGAATAAATATAAACATGGCGGATTTCTTTGATAAAAAAACACAATACAATGTATTTTATACCCATGTGTCATCATGTTGTAGTGTTTGTTTTTATTACATTTTATTTAAGTACACTAGCATAAATCTATTTCAGTACATTATTATCAATAATGTATGTTTTTATATTTATTAAGCATCTTCAATTGCATACAAACTGTGACAAAAAACTTTTCTCAATAAGGCAAAAAATTATGTCAGAGCTGCTAGAAAAAGTTTCTTATATCGATATGCAAAGTCTGTTGTTTTATGAATTCATGCTTCTTAGAGGATCAGTCCTAATTTTTGAGTTGAAATGAGATTTACTGTACCTTTCTCTTTAAGTCGATATATCTCATTGATCGTATTTTAAATGACAAGCTAACTCACAAACTAGCAGTTTAATTTAAAAAATGTTCCCCCCCGCTGCTAGTCATCTATCCACCCATTATGTCGCTTTTCCCATTTGGGGTCAAGGAGGGCTGGAGATGATACCAGCTTATTGGGTGAGTGGCGGGATACACCTGGACTGTCAGCCAATCACAGAGCTGACATTTAGAGACAGACAACCAGCCACTCTCACATTCACACATATGGACAATTTGAAGTCTCCAGTTAACCTAATGAGCATGTCTTTGGACTATGGGAGGAAGACCGAGTACCCGGAGAGAACCTACACATGCACGAGGAGAACATGCAGACTCCACACAGAGAGACTCCTGTCAGACGGGGATTCAAACCAGCAACCTCCTCGCTGTGAAGCAACAGCTCTCACCACTGTGCTGCTATTCTTGATGAGCAAATAATGTGTCGATGACCTCTGATGTATCTTTTAGTACATCAGAGGTCATCTGGTCCAATATTTTAAATTGGACACAATAGATTATGTTTACATCATCTGTGTCTGGATGTGCTAAGAAAAAAAACCAACATCGTTCACTCAGAAATTTGCATTGATTATTTATTTGTGTCCAATATACAATCAGTAACATTGTTGTGTCGTATGTTTAAAAATTGTAACTTTTGTGCACATATATAATTTAACGAGATAAACAAATCCTTTTTTTTTTCCTTTTTACAAATGCACATATTGCCAGCTCGTAGTCCAGCCGATCCAGTTATGTTAGTTCTTTTTAAATACGCTGTTAAATACTGATATACAAAAAGGAGTCAAAAACCAAATGTTGGATTATAACAACCACAATAATCACATGGGGTCTTTCTGAACATATCAGAATATTTTAGCTTCTGCTTTGACAGATTAAATCGTCAAAGAGGGATCTCCCCATTGGAGGTGGATTTATCAGACTTCCTGTTCAGCCTGCTGCATCACAGACTACTGAGGATATGTAATATAGGCCACTGAAAAGAAATAATTAAGTAAAGCTAAGCAATGCAGAGATTAAATGACCTCCTTGTCTTTGCTTTTGTGGCACCAAATCCTTCATTTCTCACACGGCTTGAGTAGAGATCCAAAACATCAGCAACGAGCGGAGAGAAAAGTTAAGGTTTTGGGCTCGCCGTTACATAACCAAGCTGTTTACGTCTTAGGTTTTATACACACATGATACACACATTAGTTCAAACTGTTTCCCTTTCAGTCTGCAGCCATGCACAGCGTTCATCCACATTATTTTAACTGATAGTTCACATCATATAAGGCTGAGCCATGTCCATATGTTCACATCATGAAAACAAAGGAATATAGTGGTTCCACATGGGCACACTACGGCTGACCGGTGGATTTCTTTTGTCAAAACTTACATTTCTACGAATCTTAAACATTTGAACATTCAGCTCTTTCAAATTTGGAAATGAAAATTAAAGTTGAAGTTGCATTTCAGCAATTTTAAATCAAATGGAAACACAGGATCAGGAGTTAGTCATCACTTTTCCCACAACAGGATTCCCTTTAAATCTGTCAAATAATTATCTAATTCAAGTTCCACGCAGCCCAGAATTATAAGTCAGCCCGTGATGAGACGATAAGGACATGGACGAGGAGCACAAAACAAACACAAAACAAGGCTTCTGACTGATTAAAACAAGTGAGGCACTTCTCAGCCAAAAGGTTGCACACAAGATAAACGTTTTGTCATTGGTCATGTCAAGTTTTAGCACGTCGTATTCCCCTTTATAATCTGTCTATCACACAGAAGAATGCTATCGACAAGACAATTACACAGCCAGGATTCCCCTTCTCATCACAACAACACAAAGAACAGTTACTGTCAGTTATTATGCATTCAATTAGAAAAGGAAATCAAGTTCAGAAGAAAAAAAAAAATCCTTTGGGAAAAAGCAAGTGCTGAAATAATACATCTCTGAGAAATGATCCGACACGGCGTTACATTAAATACAGTACTTCATTGACTGCTGTTGCAGTTTGACTTCATGAGTCCAGCACACACAGAGAATCAACAGAATGGGATCAGCACAGATCAATTATAAACTGATCTCTGCAGAACTGCACCCATTTACAGCTTAACTAGGGTCGTCGCAATACCAGGTTTCTAAACGTAGGTACTACACTTGTTCAAATTCATCACTATGGATACCTGTTTCAATACCACAGAAACAATACTTAGAAGTCCTAGGCCCCCAATGTTGGGTAATTTCTTGTTTTTATTTACCAAAATGTGCAGGCAAATTCCAGCACAATGTCTAAACTGTATCAATAAAGTTTTTTTTAACAATGGATAGTGTCGAAAAGTGCGGGAGCTTTCAAAACACCTCAGATCTTCTGTCATATTTTTTAACACAAAGTCGCCAACAGCAAGAGAGAGAGAGATTAGCGTATGTCCAAATACTGACCACTCTGACTTTTTCAAATCCTTTTGGTGTCCCATAAAGTTTGGAAAGAAACTTTGAGGTCTCTTACAAACAGCAAGAGAGCAGAGGTGGACACACAAATACAGGTACATGGTTAATATTTCAGGACTGAAATGTGCCAACGTATTTACTGAACTTCCCCCCAGTGATTAATAAAGTATTTCTGATTCTGATGATACGTATCGACAGTGCTCTCCCTCTTTTGTTCACAGCTTTTAGTTAAAATAACGACCAAAGATCTGATGGGCTTTTCTAAAGCTTCATTACTTCCAGGTTATCAAAATAACCCAGATTGGATTGTAAACATGTGGTATTGAAAAGTACCTCACTCCTAACACAGTCTGTCAAAACATGATCATCTACTTTGTCATGTTCAACTAGAGAATTATTTCTTTCTATTGTGAATTACAAACACATTAAACACAAAAAGCAAATGAAAACATTTCTGAGTGTTTCAGCATTTTTTAGCTTTACATTAAATCATTGCACGAACCCAAGAATCTCTTGCTGATGCGAGTTTGAACGAAGCTCAAAACGTCTGTCACACAAACGTCTCCTCAACGTCACAGTTACTGCATTATGAGAAATAAAATCCTGTTGGAACTTTTTACAGAAGCAGTCAGCCTTTCCAGAAACATTTAACCTTGTTGGCAGAATCTGCAAAATGATTCAGTCCACGGCAACAAGATAACAGGATAAAGAGACAGAACTTTTTTTTTTTTAAATCATCCCCGGAATGCGCACAAATAATTCATACGTATTTGAATCCTTTGACTCTGTTTGCGTCGACTCTGAATGCTGCTGCGCTGCTTCTCATATGCTTACTGAGAACACAGTTTTAAGGAGCGTCTCAGCAGAAGTTTTTAACACCCTATCATTCATATTTTTTTTTATTTGGGGTTAATAGTGACAGGTTAGGTCTGGAGGAATCGGTCAGTATATAGCGTTTGCTGGCTTTGCTTTGATTCCAAGTTTGGCTGAGAAAACTTTTTTTGAGCAAAAAAAAACTTTCAACAAATCAGACTCTCATTTCCTTACTTGTAAGTAATGTAACTTGAGTACTTTTGTTAAGACACTTTTGTGGCTTATTGGACATAAAGACGAGCGTGTAAAAAAAGGTTAATAAAGAGGGCAACACAGACTAAATGCACCAAGTGGCTTCTGTTGGTTCGGACAAACTGGAGCAGACAAACAGTCTGACCTTCAAACACCTGAATCACAGGGTTTTTACATTTCATGCATCAGCAACTACAGAGGGTGGGATAAGAAAGTTTGCCCTTTCTCCCTTCTTTAAAGACAGACAACCAAAAAAGTTCAAAGGCTGATGAATAATACAAATTTGCGATGACTACAGACGCAAGGAATATATGTTTTCAAGCATACGCAGAATGAGAAGATTAAAAACAGCTCAGTCCGATGTGGGAGGCTGCTCTAAAAAAAAGTTCTGCACCTCCAACAAACAGTCTACCTAGGAGGAGTTCAGTGAGGAGGGGGAGCCGGGGATGCTCTAAGGACTCAGGACGAGGAAGAAACTGCAACTTGAGCTGTAGGGGAGGGAATGGTGGTGGCGAGGTTGTAGGTTGAGTTCGGAGAAGATGCCTGAGGCGAGGCTAAAGGGCTGTAGATGGGTCTGGCAGAGACGGGGGAAGAAGGGGAGTGTGGAGCAGCTGTGGCCGTCGTCGGAGAGTCCGAGCTAACCTCGTCCCCCTCTTCTGAGTCCCACACTTCGCTCTGCAGGTAGTCTGCGAATAAGGCCTTGGCTCGCTGCAGCACCCTGCTCAGGTTGTGGCGCCGCACAAGGCGATCAAAGTGCATGGCCAGCTCGTTGTAATCCAAGCTGTTCTTGATGATGTGGTCTCGGTGCTCCAGCAGGATGGACAGGCACAGGAACAGCATGAAGGGGTTTCCTTTGCCGAACTCCTGAGGAGGCGGCAGGGAGCACGGTTTGATGCTGGTGGTCTCGGCTTTCAAGGAGCCGGGCGTGTTAGCTGCTGTGCTGGGGGTTTTGTTGCCAGGTGAAGGGAGATTGCTGGAAGATAACCTGTTGCCAGACAGCGACGGGCCTCTTCCAAAGGACAGAATGGGCGAGGAGAGTAGGGAGCGACTCTGAGTGTGGGAGGGAGAGGCAACAGATGATTTTAGAGTGGGGGTCGTGGGCGAGTTAATCCCTGTGCTGCCGAGCACCTGGGCGGAGGAGGTCAAGACTTTCTGGACAGTTCTCGCGAAGGCCTCTCTTCCAGTGGACAGGGATGGGGATGTGGATTTGGGAGGAGAGTCTGGAGAAGCGCCCGGCCAGCTGGAGGGTGAAGCTGAAGACGTGGGGGAGGCAGAGGGGCCTGCTTTCCAGATCGGAAGGCCATTAGGAAGCAGAGGCGGGGAGGACATTGGAGAGAGACCGTTTTCACAGTTCTTTATGAGAGGTGTTCTCTCTCCTGGGTCCTCCTCGCTGTCCACTGTGGACTGACGACTTTGGATGCTCGTGGAGGACTTTGAGACCACCATGTCCCGTGGCTGCTCAGCGTCCTCCATATCAAAGCTATCCTCGTTTCGAGCTGTGTAGTATTTAAACTCTCCGAAACTAGTCTGCCTCTCAAAGGGAACGGCCTGCATGTCTGGTTGTTCCATGTTCACTCGAGGGGTAGGACACTCGCTGCCCTCGCTTCCCTTCTCAGTTCCTTTTTCTTCTGAGACATTATTCCTGCTCATATCTGGTTCTTCTCTTGAAGGCCTCAGCATGTGTCGTCTACGCTGCTTCTCCTTTTGTTCCTTATCTTCTCTGAGGAAATTCTCCACAGCCTTGTTCTTGTCTCTGCAGGATATTGTTTCCTCGGCCTCCTGCGGCGGTCCCAGAAGCTCCACCTCGGTTTCAGGGGGATCTGGAGGCAGGGAGCTCCAGGTCACCTCGAGCATCCTCAAGGCATCGTCGAACGCAAACTCTCTCTTCAGCTCTAGGAGCAGCCAGCGGTAGCAGAAGAAGAGGTCGTCTGCTCCTTTGGACACCAGGTAAGAGTAGAACTCTGGATCTGAGTACTGCAGAAGAAGCTTCAGATGCTGAAACTTCACGGACATGAGCTGGCCGTCCGGACGAAAGTTCCCCTCCAGACGTTTCATGATGCCACAAAAGCAGATGAATGCGTGGGCCTCATTGTCCATTACAGCAAGTATAGGTGAGGCGATGTCACTCATGCCCTGACAGTACGAGATCTGAAAAACAACACAGCCACACAAAGTTACAGAGGTCTGAAGTTTACATATAATAATAATAATAATAATAATAATAATAATAATAAGAATAATAATAAGACCTAATGTGACTGCAGATGAGATCTAAAAGGGTTAAAGAGATTCAGAAGGATGATATGGAAAAACATCTTTGGATTATATTAATAGCTACTTCATTTTAAGGCTGCAGATCTTCTTGCTTTGAACTACGTGTTTGTGAAACTATGACAGATGCCAGGCGTTCCCTGCATCTGTTTGGAGTGTTGGTGGTGCACAACCCTAAAAAAATTAAGGAAGTTGCACCACTGTCTCTTTACTATCCGGACCTTTTACGGTTTTATTTTAATTTTATTATTAGTCATTTTTTTTCTTTCTAAATCTTAATTTAATTATCTATTTTCTCTTTTACCTTTTCTTTGGATTTTTATTTTATTTTATGTTGAATGTATTCTTATATGTTTAAAAAATTATATATAAAAATGTGCCAGGATGAACAAAACTGTGATGAAATATGACAACTTGTAATGTAGTTAAACAGCCTGCAATAAAGTATATTAAAATAAGAATAATAATATAGTATGTAACCTCCTTGAGTGTTTATAGTTTACATCCAACTGGTAGTTGCATCCAGCCAGTGTGAACAATTACATTCAACATCCAGTTGAGTACGCACATACAAGGTTAAAAAGCAGGTATATCCCCGGCCTAATCCTAACACATCCCTACACACCTGTGGATGTGTGATGGCAAATGTGGTGAGCAGATCTGTGAGGGCCGTCAGGTGTGGACTGTCCTCTGAGCCGGCGTAGTACGGATGAGCCCGGTCGGTCCTCAGGACGTCTTTGAGAACGTTACCGCGGATGAACTCGAGGTCCTCGCCGCTGACCCGCGCCGTCCACTCCCTCTTCAGCTGGTCGTACTCCCGCGTCTTCCTCTTCATGTAGTCCATTCTCTCCTGTCCACTCAGGCCGTCGGGGTAGACGTTCAAGAGGTACCGCCACACCACCTGACAGCAGCAGCAGCAACACAGAAGTTAATCAACAGTTTGTTCACTACAGTGGGAGGAGAGAGTGGGGTATGACATGTAGCAAATTAAGCAAATTAAGCCTTATTTTGCTCTTTTTATCTTCTTGTTAAAATAAATCATGAGACATGGGCCTATTTTTCATAAACTTCTTTACAAACAGACTTATTTTTGGAAGCAGGTCCCTCCTCCTGCCGGTCTAAGAGAAAATGCAGCTTTAAGGCATTTCCTTATTAACGTCCATTTCTAGGCAAGGCCAGGCAAAGTGCTTCACACAAGAAATCAAAAGCACCATGACAGAGGAAAGAAAATAAACATTAAAATAGAAATTTTAAAAATTATTAAATTTGAAAATATGTTCAAATAAAAATAATTCAAATGCAATTAATATAAATAAATAAAGTAAAAATATAAAAAGAGTTAAAAGTTACAGTGCAGAGTTAGAGTTTAAAATCTTAAAATTAAAATTGTGAAAGGTTTAATTTCTAACTAAAAGTCCATGAACTGACATCAAACTCTGTTTATTTGAGATCCTGCAGAACCTCAGATTCACGTCATGTAATGTAATGCTGGTAAAACAAACACCGGCGCGGCACCTTGCGCAGTGAAGGATCCACGCCGCCGTGGTAGATCCTCAGTCTGAGCTCCTCGGGCCGCGTCAGCTGACCCTGTCCGTTCATGTAACTATGAAACTCTGCGTCGCTCAGAGGGGGTTTGAAAGGTCTGATCTCCTCCCCGTACGTCCAGCTGAACGCCTGCTGCACTTTGGTCAGGGTCCGCCCCACCTGAAGATGAGAGAAACAGAGTGTGTGAGAAAAACTCCTGACTCGAAGACGGTTAAAGAGACTTTATGATGACGAGGACAGAACGGGGGACGAACCTGAGAGAGTAGAGACTGTGTGAACGGAAGAGCTGCAGACGCCAAAGACCTGGTCCTCTCTGCAAGGAGCTGCTCAGAGCCAATCACGTCTTTGGGGCTGATGATGTCCCAGTCCTCCATGACAGGACCTGCAGGTGATTGGACAACGGCACATTGAACAATCATTGACCTGTCTTGAGCTCCCAACATGAAAGAGGCATTTAACTCATTTCTAAAGATATTAAGAGATTCCTTCTTTATGCACTTCTGACGTCTTATAAATCACTCTCTCTCTTGACTTATTATTTTACAAAGTCACACTTTATTTATTTTCATTATAAAATCCTCACACTTTAAACGGCGTTAATCCCGGCTTGCTGAGACGTCTGAAATAAAAAAAATATCTTTGCAGCTTTTGTGCAGCGCACATTCAAGACACTGCTCTCCTGGATACACAATCCAAACGTCTTGTAGTTCTATTTATGGCACTGTGTTCCTCTCTTCTAAGACATCCCACTCAATACAGGGAAAATGTTGTGTCCTAAAACAGAAACCACTTTCAAACCACACAGCGGCTCAATCTCGAGTCCACTTTGAAATGATCTGCTCTGCTTTTTTTCTGGTCGTTAAGACTTTTTGATTTCAGTTTTTCCACTGAAAAACAAATCAGAACCTTCACATCTAAGACGTAGAGATTGATCTAAATTTTGTAGTGCATGTCTGCTACCTCTGTCTGTCTCTACTTTGTGTATTTTCTTTAAATGTGACCTATTTGAGGAACATCTGCTTTCAGTCATATATACCGCAAGAAACACAGAAAAATGTATGAACGGGTTTTGTGTTTTGTTGTTTTGGGGATAAATTGGTGTTCTTACTGTCTTCTGACGGCTTGATGTCCATCTTGAGCTGCAGATGTGGTTTGGCTGCAGAGAGAAAAGCGACATCCAAATCCCGGTCGGACAGCAGAGGCAGATACATTTCAGCTCCGCTCTGGTCCCGAGAAAGGTAACTGATCCCGAAATTCCGCTTCCTGGTTGGAGAAGAAAAAAAAAAAGGAAAGAAAATGCTGACACCCACAGAGTGAAGCTCTCATTGGGGACAAACTCAGAAAGCCTTTGTGTCTTTACTGACCCGTTCAGATCAAACGCTCTGATGAGGATGTGCTGCAGGACCTCCAGGGAAGTTATCTGAGGGTCGACAGCGAAGGAGCGAAACTCCACAGGCAGCACGCCATCGCATTTCTGAAAAACACATACAGCACCAACACTGAATAATTAGAAAACAATAAAGATTCTGTCAGAAAGACGTGGACAGTATCTCAGTTTTATATTAATCAATCAATAACACCAATAATCTGCTGTATTGGTACAGAGTGGCCTTGCATTGTTTCAGGTACTTTTTCAATTAGTGTCTGTAAGTGATGCATGGTTAAAAACTGTTCTTGGCTGACTTTAAAGTATCAAAAACTTCTTTGAGGAGGAATATTTATCGTGATTTTGCAAGAACATGCTATAGCTGCTGCCACTTTTATTCCTGTGCTGGACTATGATGATATTTATAAATGCACGCCTCGTCTCAAAGCTGGGATGCTCTGAACTCTGAGGTTCATCACGAATTTAAAGAAGAAGAGTGGGATTTTCTGGCACAACTTCAGAGGTCAAAAAGTTCCAGAAACACTTGTAGTACAAAGATCACCTTTATAGACATGTTAGACCGACGCGTTTCGGTTTGTGGCCTTCATCAGGGTCATCAAGAAACACTTGGATGGTATTTTTTGTCCACACACAAGACGTATTCTTATTTATGAGTCTATCTTAGGTCTTCTTCTTTCATACTTTATGACCTCCATCAGTCAGACGAGAACAGAGACTTATAATCTTTTGTCTCAGGATCTTAGAACCGACCTGTAGAGGGAGAGGTCTTACCTGGCAAGCCTGAGCCTGAAAAAAAGCTGTTTAAGTTTGCTGCTCCCTCTACTTGTAACTTAACGAGCTGCTCTCATTGGATGCTTTTAAGAGGATGTAAGGTGGACACATCTGGCTGTAGATCTTATCCCTGATGTGTTTGTGGGTTTAGCGTTTTTGACCAAGATTTGCTTCTTAAATTGTTGTTTTGTATCTTTGAATATTTGGACGATGTGTACGGAAAAACACAACATACTCTGTAATTGAACCTACTTTTTTTATTTTATTCTTGCAACATTGATTAAATCACAAATATGAGTCATTATGAGTGGAGAGCACAAAAAAAGCCTCCTCTTCAGGTACCGTGTGACGTCATGAAGCCTAGTTACGCGCGCATCCACGTCCACGCACGTAAATGCTGAGCAGGCAGGTGACGTCAGCTCGAGTCTGAGAGGGCTCACTGCTGTTCGGTTACATATAATAACAGCTGTTGACACATGATGGTCAAAGTGTCCGTCTAAACGTGAGGTCTTAATAACACACCTGACAGGTGTGAATAATGATTAACCCCCTCCAGATAACACACACTGCAGTCAGCGGCAACAACAACAACAACAGAGCAGTCGGTAAACAAAACACAGAGGTGGAGACTCGCTCTGAACAAACACGGTCACACAGCAGGTGTCCTCATAGGTGTGTTCACCTGTCGACGTGTTTGTTTTCACAGTCAAGCAGTTAGTTCAATAACCAGGAGAACTGGGTTGCTAGCTGACTAGCAGCCGTCGGCGGACTGTTTGATTAACATCCTACCTTGACTTTGACGCGGACCACCCCCCTCTCCTCCTCTCCGGCCATCTTACAGACTCCGTTTCGGGTCAGGATGGTCGTTCTTGGTTTTGGTTTCCCCCTCTACATCGACATGGTGAGCATCAATAACATGATAGGGGGGGCAGCAGCAGCTCCAGCCAAGATCCTCTAGTTCGGGATCTTCTTCTGCTCTCGTTTCACTGCGGATTCACGGCTGCGCCACCGCCCTCTAGTGGACAAAGCTGAGTGTGCGCTTTCGTTTTCCTTGTTGGTTTAAAGGGCGGTTCGTATCTAATGTGATGCATTACCGCCATCTACTGGACAATCATCTTTACCATCTTCTTCTAAGAATTAACAAATTAGTCCTGGTTCTGAATTTCCCTCTAGATTAATAGAGTATTTATCTGTCTAGCATAAAACTTTAATTAATAGCCAGGGCCTTTATTTACATCCGTCTACACAATGACCCTGCCTTTATTTGGGACAGGTGCAGAGATGCTGCTTGACAACAGGCAAGTAAGGCAACTGCTTGTGACCCAGAAGGGGGCCACTGAGGGCTCACGAACCTAAACCAAAGCAGTGGCTCAAAATATGCAAATTTGCAATGACAGTAGGAAACTTGGGGGGCCTAATCGGACAGCACTCACTCTATTGCTGTGAAAAACTAAGTTTTTCAATGAATGTCACTGAAGAAAAATTAAGAAGAATTAGCTGTCTATAAGTGAGAAAAAAGAGGAAGAGGAGTAAGCGTCGACTGGCAGACATGCTGGTTGGGGCCCCCCGAATGATTTTTGCATAGGGATCTAACAGACTGTAGAATCGCCACTGGACAGGCTTCAATACCAGATGGGCCTTTAATTATTGAAAGAATATTTTTGCAATGCAAAGATAGCATTAGAGGCATTAGGGCCTGTAATCAATACCTGCTTTCTTTTGTCAAAATGTGCAGCAACATCAGGGTAGTGAAAGGGACAAGGTCTTAAATTGGAATATCGGTCTGTCTGTCTGTCTGGTCACTTATAAATGTGTGTCAGCGCTCGTAAAAGTGTTTTGCATCTTATACATTTGTTTTCTAAAATGTAAAAGTAAATGTATGTAGGCCTGTAAATGTAATTTTGTTTAAATACATTTAAAAAATGTTTTCCAAAATGTAAATTTGTCTCAAGTTTTGCATGTGTTTCACACTTTGTAACTATGATTCTGCACTTCCCAGCCACCATAAGAAAGTGTGTAAATAAAACAGAACAGCTAAAACCTCTGGATGGAGTAAAATAATAAAACATTTATTAAATGTAAACAGTTCCAGTTTCACTCAAAGGTGGAATAAGATCATGTGATTCACAGTTTCATTAACTGTGACAGATCATATCCAATCTCAACCAAACATCATCCAACTATCCAGCACTTTTCCGGTCATGAGACTGTGCTTCGCGGTGCATGCTGGGAAGTGTATTTCCACGTCACTCACTCCCCCATTTGTTCCTCTCGACTGGAGCTCAGGATGGAACTCCACCTCCCACCAACACCGGCGCTACATCCCCTCATTACTTCGTTTCCACAGTGAACCAGGCAGAAATGTCAGATTTGTTACGTTTGTGTCATCTAACCCGGGTCAGGTCCAGTTCGCGGGCGATGTAGCGGACTCGTTTACTCTCGAAAAAGCGCATTCGTGTCGTTGCAGCGGATATTTACGATGGTTTCTGTCAACGGCTAGTTCCTAAGTTAGCTAGCAGAAGATGGAAGCTAGTTCTCTAGCATGGATAACCCCTCTCTAACATGAGCTAACTGAGTGTTAATAAATAACCCAGCTAGCATCAGATGCTCTGCTATAAACCCGCTTGTTAGCCAGCAAAGCATATCTTCAGACAAAAAGATGGAAGAAGTGGACAGAATTTTGATTCACGCCCTCAAACAAGTCGGCACGTAAGTACCAATAGAGCTTTATTATTGACCAGCTGTGTGTCAGTGCTAACCCTGTTATGGGAACGATGTTAGCTGGTTAGTAACGTCACTGTCAGTCACTGTTAGCCTGTCATATGATCAGAGACATCACAGAGTGAAGGCTGTGTGGGACAAAACATGACTAAAGTATAAATAAATAAATGTTGGGAGAAATGCATACAATAATGTATAAATAATTAAATAAATGCATCAGTAAAGATATAAGTAAATGCAACAATTCATATAAAAAATAATAAATACATATATTCATATATTTATTTATGTATTTCTGTGTCCATCTTGTACAAGGAAAAGTAAATATGTCAATTAATTTACATATCTACTTTTCCTCTTACGACCTGGACACAGAAATAAATAGACGTGTAAATGTAAAAATACGGAAATAAATGAATAACTCAATTAATGTGGAAATGTATGCATTGATACATAAATAACTGTAGAAATACGCTAATAAATGAATACATGTAAAAATATATAAATAGCCTTTTTCATTAACAAAGTGTATTTATTATGTATTCATTGATGTATTATTTTCAGCATTTATATATTTATTGATACATTTATTTATTTAATTATTTATTTATTTATACATTATTGTATGCATTTCTCCCAGTATTTATTTATTTATACTTTAGTCATTTTTTGTCCCTCATAGCCCTGAGTGAGATAAACCAAGGTGTGTAAATGACAGTTTGTATGTGTGTGACCCGCAGAGAGGTGAGCGACGAGGTGGACAGTGTCAAACAGTTCACCAGTGAGCTGATTGTGGAGTCGGTGGTCAGATGTATCCGGGTGATAGACCCCGGCTTGGGCGGCGGGCTGCCCACCTCCCTCCCTCCAGGCATGTCTGCCCGCTTCAGGGTGGGAATGAGCCTCGCTCAGGCCTGTCAGGTAAGACTCCTCCCTCTGGGTTATGACCTTGAGACAGGACAAGGTACAAGGCACATGCAAAGACAAATGTACACAGGTGCTGGATGGAAAATCAAAGGGTCAGGATGGTTAGGATGAAAAAAAAGATCCGCACTCTGTATTAAAATGTCCCAGCAACTTCAATTTCAGAAGCAGAGTTTCCGTCTCACAGATCATCTTCAGGCACATTCAAGTCCGACTTAACTCAGTGGTTCCCAATCTTTTCTGGCCTGTGACCCCACTGACAAAACTCTGGCACCCCCCAGACATCCAAAACACAAACAGCTTGTTGCTAAAATTAATTTGTTTTTAATCATGTAATACTTTTTCTAAAATCACAATCCAATCAGAAAGCATATCAGGGGGCAACAGGACAGTCAGCATGTATTGTTACTCAGATCCTAAAGAGACAAGGAAACACTGAGGGGCTGATGTATATATATAACCACTAGTTGTTGTTTCTCTGCTCGTTTCTCTAACATGTCAAACTGTTTTTATTCCAGGACATTGGTTATAAAGGAGAGATCGGCTATCAGACGTTTCTGTACAGCAACGAGCCTGAGATCCGTTCGCTGCTCATGTACCTGGTGGAAAAACTGCCCAGAGAAAGTGCAGAGACCTCAGACCAGCCAACAGGTACTGTGTGTGTGTGTGTGTGTGTGTGTGTGTGTGTGTGTGTGTGTGTGTGTGTGTGTGTGTGTGTGTGTGTGTGTGTGTGTGTGTGTGTGTGTGTGTGTGTGTGTGTGTGTGTGTCAGAGAGTTTATATCTCCTCTGAGGGAAAGATGACTCATGGTGCATTTACTCCTACAGGTTTTATTTGTGTCGTAGTGTAAGACAGCATCATCCTGGACTTTAGCTCAAATTATTGTTCATCTGAGACCTCGAAAGATTTGCTGGAGTCAAATACATCGAGTACTGTTTTATTTAAAATAAACGTCATGGTTGTTTCAAGACTAAAGTGAAGTTTTGATGATATGTCAGAATCATAGAGGGAAAGATTTGGCAAATTTATCCAAATAAGGATGTTTACGGTGAGAAGGCAGACTCAGAGGGCAGAACAAACACCTAGCTGTGGGAGTGTCACCCACCTGGGGGAGGGGCTACTGCCCTTTGTGATGTCATGAAGCGAAAATCTCCAAACGGCCTGTTTGGAGATGGACATTTCTCATCATTGGGGGGTTTGTAGACAGACTAGAGACACATGTTAGAGTTAGAGGAACATGGAGAAGTGGATTTTGCAGAATATGTGATGTCTAGTTTTTCCGCTTGCAGGTTGTCAATGTTGCAAAGCCTCTTAAAAGGATAAGGGCACTTTCAGAGACAGAACCAATTAGTCAGTAAAATGTGCTTTCTGCGGATTTTGAACAGGTTTTTAAACTGTTAATATTCTGTTTAAAATATAAACCCCTGCTGTGTGTTTAGATAATGCTTTTTAAGAGATAGCTCAGTGTCAGTTATCTTGTCATAACCAATCCCCTAAAAGATATTAGTAATCATAAACATTGTGCATGACAGGAAATGATTAACAAACACTCACACAGTTCTGCAGAAATTAGGAAGTGCTGCTCTGAGTTCAGCCTTGTTTGTGCGTCCTGCTCTCTGAAGATGATGTCTCTTAATTATTCTTGTGTATCTGTGAGACAACTGAAGCTGTTTTTCCTCCTCTAGGTAAATCGGTGGTCCTTCAGAGATCCATCGCCGCTGCTATCAAAGCCCAGCTGTCTGTGCCCTGGCTGCCTCCAAACTGCAGACTGCCACTGAACTGTGAAACACAAGTAAAAACTTTACATCTTTATATATTTGTTTATCTGCATAAAGTTTGTATTCATTGGGAAGTCGATGAACAGGAGTCAAGAGAATCAGACAGACAGACGTCTAGTCTGTAAAGCTGTAAAAATAAAACACCTGAGCACAGAAAGTAAACATCAGGCAGCAGTTTGAGTCAGTGGTATGCAGGGCTAGCTTTTTTTTTTTTTGGAGCGCCCCTCTCCTGAGTGCGTCGCCTTTTTTGTGTGGCTGCTCTGAGCAATCAAATTGAAAATCTTTCCAATTTTCCGGATTCCTCCATAATGAATGCTGTCCACGATGTGTACCCGCATGTTTTTGCTCTTGCATGAACTGTACCGTGCTGAAGCACACCTCTTCCAAACGTAGCAAGGAAGCACTCACACTAGTCAAAAGAACTGGACTTTAATTTTTTAAAACTTTATTAGGGGTGAAGCGTGCTTAGGCTCCAGATGAGTTCAGGTGATTTTAGGTGACGCGTCTCTGTGTGATTGGGCCCCACCATTGGATAATCCTGAACATTTATAAGATTTTTAAGTGGAT